CGGCTCAGTGACGGTCTCAAGCAGCAGAAACCGAATGAGGAAGAAGTGAAATACAGTACAGTATCAAGAAGAAAATGTAAAACTTGTGAAATGTTAAGGCTTCAGTCATCATCAGAACACCTGGAGATGTGATCCTCTATGTAAGAAAATGGCTTCGACAGCTGCTGTTTATCAAAAACAGTATTGTTAGTGTTTTTGTTGATTTAAAGAATGTTTTCAACACTATTGACCATAATCTTCTTATTGAAAAGTTAAATGAATACAGCATTAGAGGATTTGTACTACAGTGGGTGTCTAGTTATCTGAATAATAAGAAACAGATTGTACAGGTACATAATGGAACATCTGAATTTAGTAATATTAGTTGTGGAGTTCCTCAGGGTTCTGCACTTGGACCAAAATTGTTTACTTTGTATGTGAATGATTCGGTCATTGGGTCAAGGCTTTTAAAATGTATTTTGTTTGCTGATGACACAGTTCTGGTGAAGATATTAAACAGGTATTTGAGGGGGAACAAAGAGCATTTATGAAAATACAAACTTGGTTTCTAAGTTATTGGATTTGTATAAAACAAACTGCATGATATTTGGTAACAGAAAGAAAACTATTGATGTCCCATTCAGAGTTGATGGTGTTGAGATTTATAGAGTGAGGTGAGGTTTTTGGGTGTTGTCATAAATAAAACAATGACATTGAAATCTCATATAAATTATTTAAGAATAAAAATAGCTAAATAAATTGCATTGCTGTTTAAAGTAAAAGAGTTACAGATTGAAAAAGCTCTCTATATGTTGTATAATACAGTGATTGTTCCACATTTAGACTATTGTATTAAAGTCTGGGGGAAAGTATGTATAACAATTACAAATCATATTTTTATTTACAAAAAAGGTAAGGATTATTACTAGAAAACATTATGGAGACACAACAAATACATTACTCTGTCAATTGAAATTATGGTTGATTATAAAATCCCACGGGGGCTCATAAAAATATATAACCAGTTTGAAGGAACAAAGTAATTCAATTCAAGGAATACGACTGTGGAATAATCTTGAGATTGATCTTAAAACTGATATTGTGTGTAGATTTCCTTTTGTTTAATTGAATGAATGAATGAATGAATGAATGAATGAATGAATGAATGAATGAATGAATGAATGAATGAATGAATGAATGAATGAATGAATGAACATGGGAGATACTCCTTTGACCTTGCTGTGAGGTGACAGCTCTAAACCTTTGGGGAAATTTAAACGTCTTAGCAGACACATGAAGGTCTGCAGCACCTCAGATATTTATTCTGTAAACACATCTTAGTTGTGTTTATTCTAAATATAAGACAGTATATTATAACATATTATTATTATTATAGTGCTGATCCAGCATTCACACTATTGTTTTCACTCTTATTTTTCCATAAATTCTTTTTTCAGCCATTTATATATTTTTTAATAGATAGCAGCTAGAACTTTTGGTTTCTGTAACTTTTTCAAAATAGTTTACTTTTGTTTACATATACAGTACATCCCTCATAGAAACACTCTGAGATCTCTTCCATCCAGTCAGTATAGTTTTTTATATATATATTTTAATCTGCTTCAGGATACTTGCTCTACTTTTGTCTCTTGTGCCACTTTTAGCTTTTAGCTTTTCTTCTACCTTTAGTTATTAGCTGTTAATTTTAGCTTTTAGTCAGCCATTTTTTTTTTAGCTTTTCTGAGGTTTAGCTTTTACCAAATATTTTTTCTACTTTCAGCTTTTGGTCACTTTTGTATCTTTGTGCTTTTTTTATTATTGTTATTATTTTTGCTACTCTCAGTTTTCAGCTGTCCTTTTGCTACTTTTACTTGGTGAACACAGGCCATATTTACAGTACTTTTTTTCCTGTTTATATTTTTGTCTCTATTCACACTCTTCAAATTAAAGCCACTCCAAGAAGAAATGCATATTGCCTGTCCACTTTCATAACAGAATTATTTGCAGATGATTTGCACAATCGTTTAGTAATAATGCAAATTTGCAGAGCCGGCTCTTGGCATAGGCGAACTAGGCGGTCGCCTAGAGCGCCATCTGCTGGAGGGGGCGCCGAACTGCAGAAGAAAAAAGTAATCATTTGTAATCTCTGTTTGTAACTCTGCTCAGCGCTCCTTTCAATTAGCTTTGTTTAAAAAAATTATAATTCAGTATTACAGGAAAAATAAACTACTCTACCCATAAAACATTCACACATACACACACACACACGCACACACACACACACACACACACACACACACACACACACACCATGTAGCAAACGCCCCCACCCTCTCTCTCATTTGATTGACGTTGCACTGACTCGTCCTGCTCCGACACTCTGACGGGGGAGGGGCTAGTAATGCCTCTCAGGTAGCTGTTTGTGTTGACAAACTCAATAACAACAAGTCTGTATTTTGTTGTCCCATACATGTCAACCTCTTCGGACATTTACCTGTATAAAAAGCCTCAAAAATGCGTAAATTTTTGCAAAAAGTCCATACAACTCACAAGGTGAGCAAATAAATCTAAGTTTACCATCGTACCTTACTGTCAAACTTGTTTTTAGGGGTTCAAATTGGAGTGGGTGAGAAATAGTTCGGGGGGTGGGGGTGGTTGTTGTGCTTCAACTCGCCTAGGGCACCAAAATGGCTAGAGCCAGCACTGCAAATGTGGACCTGCAGTCAAAGTATGTTCTGAGGATAACTCTCAGCAACTACAAGGCCAAATTTTGGCTGCCATTTTGAATATGCTTGACTCAGCTGTACATCCAATGATTACTTTTTGCATCTTTATGTAAAAAATATCAAAGTGGGGCATGAGATTTTTGGTTACACACACACACACACACACACACACACACACACACACACACACACACACAC